TAGAAATTTCAAATGAAGAGTGTATCAGGGTTGCTACAAGCGACTAAAATGCAACCATTTTCGGCATATAAAAGGGAAAAGTTTTTTATTAAATGAGTTCTAGTAATTTGAAGTATTTTATTTCCTGCAAACATATTAACTCTCTTGATGCAAAAATTAAGTGCTAGAACACTCATGTTTATATAAAAATTATCATATTTGCCACCAACTTGACTAAATGGATCATGACAATGGTAATGGTAAATGACAATTAAGCATTTTTCATTTTTTTCTGTGACCATTCTGTGTATGGGACTGACTAATATTCGTTGAGGGATTGTCATTTCTTCATGTTCTAAGAGTGGATGTTTGAATAAGAACTTTAGTACATGAATTATCAAAATACAAGATTATTGCAAACAAACACATCGAAATATAAAATAAAAGTTACTGAAGATAGTAAAAAAGGAATAAGCACAAGCAAATGAACTTCACTATATGGCAGTGGAAAAACACAAATCAATGCCATCTTAAAAAAAAAAAATCATTATAATAATAACAATAAAGATTTATTTATCTAGATTAAATGCAATTGCCTTTACGCAAAATTATACATTATGTTATTGAACATAAATATTAGATCATATGGATTCTTCTAAAAATATTTCAAGTGAATAATGCTGGCTTATTCCTGTGAAAAAAATGAACTATTCATTCAAATCATCTTGTTTCTAATTATAAATATTTGTAGTTCGATGTTGGTTATTTAATTTTTTTGAAGAACAATTCTTTTATCATTTTGAAAAGCTGCCAGCTTTTAACACCAGTCACATAGTCATGAAAGAGACTGTCGTTCCGAAGTTTTACTGTATAGGTGATAAAAAGTGGATTAAGTTAAACTTCTACCCAACTAAAAAGTTAGCTAAAATTTTACGGGTCTGTTAGGATGAGAAATTGTTACATGCATAAGATTAAAAAAAAAAAAAAATTATGTGTCATTAAAAAAATGCCACCAAGGCTAATTTTTAAACCAAAAACAATTTAGTTGTAATATACAAACTATATTTTAAAATAAACAATACCTATAACATTTTTTAATTATTATACAAAAAATGGGGTAGTTAGGAAAAAAAATTCATCTAGAAATTAAAAAAAAAATATAGGTTCCAGTTTATTGTACCACTACACAAAAACCCATTTTAAAATGACAAACAAGTTTTGGTTTTAAATTATGTGTTTATGTGGTTTTACTTAAGGTAATATAAAAATATCAGTCATACAAAGATGTTTTTACAATGAAAAAAAAATTCTTATGAAACTGTTTAGTAGTTCTTTAAATTTCTAAATAAATT